GGGGTCGGGCTGGGCCGGGTCGAGTTGAGTTGGGCCAAGTGGGGTTTAGGAGGGCTGTGCTGTGCGCCGCGGTGGATGAGTCACCTATGCTGAACTCCAGGGCTGTCCTTGGCCGGGTTTCGAGGCCCAGATGGAAACTGTCTCTTACTCAGGGGCCTACATGAAGCCGGGAGCTCATGGGCTTAGGATCTCAACCCACACAATCACATCTGACGTGTCTCTTCCGTCCACTTCTAGGGACCTGTGGGCTCCTATGGTCGACACACATGAGGGTCATATTACCAGCAATATGCAGCTTTCTACCTACTTAGACCCTGCCCTGGAGCTGGGCCCCCGCAATGTACTGCTGTTCCTTCAGGACAAGGTGAGTCTACTCCAGTCTGCTATGTCTTTTTGTTGGTAATCACACCCCACCTCACCCTCACTGCCATTTCCCAGGTGAAGCTGTAGTGACCTTGTCCCACCTGTAGGCAGGTGTGGCTAGATTTTCTTGAAGACCTGTAAGAGATGCTTCAGTGGGAACAGGATACCCATGGGAATGGCAGGGACTTGATTTAAGGGAGCAAGGGGTCAAACATTAGATACTTAACTAGTACTAAGCATTATTTTCTGGTGTTCTGTAGCATGGTGGGGATTATCACTCAGTTTCACAGATGAGAAGATTCACTTTGGGGGAAGATCAATGTGACTTGCCCAATAGCTAATGGTTGGCAGAACTGTAATTTTAAATATCACAATTGTAATATTTTTTTTTGGTTTAACTGCTAAAGGAAGTAATATTGATGAGGTAAAATTAATTGCTGAAGGCCCAGATTTGGAGACAGTACAACACACTGCTTCTAGTTCTGGGGGTATCAGTCCTGTCCCCCAGTTTTGTGCTGGGCCAGCATTCTATTTTCCTTTCATTCCAGGTGTGTGCACCCAGAGCAGGATTATGGACTATGAGAAGGTTCTAGCTCAGCATAAGATCATTGTTCAGGAGGATGTCAAGTCTCTACTTGTCCCTTCCTCTTTAGTGGCCTAGTTGGCTCATTTTGTTTGTGGCCTCCCTCTGTTGCTGTGTCTGCTGGTGGTGGTGATTATGTTGGTCAATAGTCTTTTTGAAAGGTGGTA